AACTATACGGAATCTGACACCACGCTGTGAAACTATGGCGTCATAAGCCACACGAACACCCACACTCAATGGAAGCCTCCCACTGAGTGGCACCTCTTGACCTCGACTCACTGACGATCCCCCACTGAAGTGACTCCTCTTTTGATGGTATAAGAGAGTGTTAATTACTAAATATGCAAGGATGATTAACACGATGACCTATTTCAAATCTAAATGTATATATAAGTGCCAAAGGTAAACAAAAATAATAGATTGACTGATGATAACTTACGATATATGGTTCTTAATAATCGTATAATTGGGATTAGGAGGATGTCCAGACTTTTATATTTCGGGAATTAGGGTCACGGAAAAAAAAAGAATTTGGAAATCGTTGCCATAAAGAATTTGACCAATTGGTTGGTTTCACTAGTTAGACATTAGTCCTGAAGGGATTGGGAATCGCTTCCATAAATGTTTTGACCGACTGTTTGGTTGGTTTCAGTAGTTAGACATTAGTCCTGAAGGGATTGGAAATCGCTTCCCTAAAAGTTTTGACCGACTGGATGGTTGGTTTCAGTTGGTAGACAGTAGACCTAAAAGATATAAGAACCACTGCCCTAAAAGGTTTAACCAGTAGGTTGAGTTCAGTAATTATACATTAGTCCTGAAGAGATTGGGAACCGCTGCTCCAAAAGTTTTAACTGGTTGGTTTTAGTAATTAGCCATTAGTCCTGAAGGGATTCAAAACCACTGCCCTAAAAGTTTTGACTGGTTGGTTTCAGTAATTAGACATTAGTCCTGAAGAGATTAAGAACCGCTGCTCTAAATGTTTCACTGGTTGGTTGTTTTCAGTAATTAGACATTAGTCTTCAAGAGATTGAGAACCATAGCCCTAAAAGTTTTGTCCTGTTGGTTGGTTTCAATAATTACACATTAGTCCTGAAGGGATTGGGAACCACTTCCCTAAAAGTTTTGACTGATGGTTGGTTTCAGTAATTGGACATTAGTCCTGAAGGGTCTAGGACCCGCTTCCCTAAAGGTTTTACCATCTGTTTGGATTCAGCAATTAATCATTCCTCCCGATTTCTGAAGTAAAAAATACAAACTAAGTTGGATATTTTTGTTGTTTGTATTAACATTTATGGTAATTGTATACCTTATATTACTAGCAATTTACGCTAATAGTCACTAATCGCAGTATTCATACCTCATTGTAAAAAAATAAATAGAAAAAGTGAACATTTTCTAAAAGAGGATTTTTTTCTGGGAAGTACTACATGGGAAAAGTGTTCTGATTATTCTCTTTAGTGATATGCATCTCATTGCATGAAAATAATTAAATGTACAGAGCTCAAAATGTTCACAAATTTACTAATATAAACTGTAGTTCTTTTATATATTAAAAATGGTACTGTTTATTGAAAAAATAATTGTTTTTTAAGAACTCCAGTTTCTCAGTACCACATTAAAAATTACATCAATAAAGATATAATCAAACTCTCGCGTACAGTCCTAGTGAAAGTCGTGTTCTTGTTGTGAGAATAGTACTTTTATTTAAAATTGTGTTCAATTATAAAAAAATAGTTGTTCCGCATGCCACAGTTATTTTTATAATTGTCTGAATCTTGAATAACCAAAGTGCGAATTTCTTTATGTATTTTTGTTTGAGGTACCATTCAATAGATGGCGGAGTAGTTTTGGTTTCGTACATAGATACTGACATACAAACTACGCCCATTATAGTAAGATTAGGTTTTACAGCTTGATTCCTTGAGTATCTTTTTTTTTTTTCAGTGAGCTGTGGTAGTTTTATTTTGCTGGCGATTTCGTCAGACTACGGATTAAGAGCATTTGTAGGTAAATTGATGAAGACACACTAACAATACAACAATAGAATATTTAACCATAGAATTACAGGTGAGGAGTGGACTCCATCGGCTTTTTAACAATCTGTATATCTACCAAGTTGGTTGTGGGTCCATGGCTATGATCACTACAGTAACGTGTAAACAAAAATAACATTAATATTGTAATTAGTCGTACTAATTAATGCTGGAGTACTCTAGGTGAATGATTTCATCTGTTTTTGTTTTTTTTTTGTCAGTTCTTCACACTGATTATTGTGAGAGGCAAAAACATATTAAAATTATTCAATGTATGTAACCCACCAAAAGATAACTGTAATTTTAGAATTAACTATAACACAAGTGTGTATAATGGGGAGTTGTTAAACCTACAGGTTTAATACAGCATTAATAGCTTTTTTGGTGTTTTCATAACAACTTCAAGCTCATTGTTTTGTAATTATATATTTCTTAAGGGTGACTCTGGAGGACCAATGGTGATTCAAGAAGAAAATGGACGATGGATTTTGGCGGGAATAATTTCCTGGGGAATTGGGTGTGCTCTTCCTAACCAACCAGGCGTTTACACTCGCATCACCAAATTTTCTGATTGGATTAATCAGATAATTGTATTTTAGTGCACTCATCATTCTCCATGGTAAAACTGACTACCACGACCACTTACGGAATTTAGTTTCCATAAATAACCTTCTAGAAGGTCATGGATCTCAGAACTCAAAGTGTCTCTGATTGAATATGAATAGAAAAAATCTGAATGTAAATTATATTAACTAAGCATATATGAAAGTATGAGAACGTTTAGTGTATTTCCCTCCTCATTTTTAGAGTGATGGGAATTTTATTTTCAGCGAGATCTTTAACAGGGAGTCAGACACGCGAAAAAGAAATATTGGACTATTTTCGATTATTTCTTGATCTTAAGGCACACATGCTACTTTGAAATAATACGTTATACATTTATCTGTTGACTGTATACATACTTGGAATATCGATTGTTATTATTATTCAGTGTGTATCTTATAGCCAACACTATTGGTTGGCATGAATAGAGTGGATTTATACTCTTATAAGGTAGAAACTAAAGGAGTTGTTTCTGGAATGCGTTATTTGTTACCATCTTGCACTAGGGATTTTTTTCCACAAGCACTATGTATTAAGATATCACATTTTATTCCAAAAATTGTCCTTCTTTACCTCTAAGAAGAAAAAAAAAGAGTTTAAACAGTTTTACTTGTATGAAAGATAAAATACATCTAAACTGTCTATGTTATTTTAAAAAAGCATACACATTAGACATATAAACTCAATGTTAACACGAGTGTAATAAAAATACATTGTTCACTGGATCAAACATGAACTTTCCTATTCCTTCGTACTGTATATAGCTTTATGTTAGTTTATTGTAAACGTATGTGAAATTAAAAAATCGTTTGTTCATTAGTTCCGGATATGAGGTATCCAAATCCCTTGTACTGTTGGGGGAACAGAAGGTCCTGGCATGGCCTGGTTGTTAGGGCGTTAGGGCAATCTCTATGTCGCGAGTTTGAATCCCGTCACTGAACATACTCGCCGCAGGAACGTTATAATGTGCTACAACAAGCGAAATGATGTCAATGAAACTGATTCATTAATTGTGTTCAATAAATAAATAATATTTGTAAAATATTGTTTACTTTTAGCTCTATTTTTTATATCGTTGAAGCATAATTTCACTATAAAACATTATCCTTTTAATAGTTATGAGTAATATGGATTGAGGAAATAAAGGATAAGATATTCAATTTTTGAGTCAAATACATATGGTCGTAAGATCTGTAATCTAACCTGTTATAATATTTAATCAACATATTTTACGACAACGTAATTATACAGTTTTTTAAATATATAATTTATTCCTTATTAAGTTATTTGACATAAAAAACGGTAAGATATTTGTTTCCTTGTTTTGTTACCATTCACAAAGCAACAACATGGACTATTCTATGCTCTACCTACCGCGGGTATCGAAGTCCTAGTTTTAGCGTTATAAGCGTTTACATTTACCGCTGAATCATCAGGGAGGCACTTAATAAGAAATAAACACACTTATTCAGTTCTTCTATAAAAGTACTTCATTTTGCTAGGTATGGATGTTGCGAACTGTTATAAGGTTTTATAACCCAACTCATACATTCATTGTCAAATGAAGCTAGGCGAAGCTTAATGATTAGCCTGTCCAGACTGTGAATGAGAAGGTTCGTGTTTCGCATGCTATTGCCGGAAAAACCCGCTATACACTTTATGGATGTGGATTTGCTACATAAAAGTGACAATCAAATCTTACTATTCGATCATGTGAGAGTAACCCAAGAGATGACGGTGGATGCTGTTAACCAGCTGTCTTCCTTCTCGTGTATCAGTTTTAGATTAAGGTCGGCTAGCTTTACGCAAGTATACAAAGCAAACCAAACTTAATACACGACAATGTTGTTTACCTATAGCAGTCAGCATTCATTTATAGAAATTGATTTAATCTGACAGTCCATGACTCAATTCAGTTTAAATGGCTGAGAACGTTATCCATCTATTTTCTAAAGTATGACATTAAAGCCTGAAATATAATGATTGGATGTGAAATTATTAAACAATGAAAATGCACAGAAGATAACCCAATAATGTGCTTCGTTTTTCTAATATTGCACCGAAACGGTTCTTCAGGTTCTTACGTCAACTCTCTCCTATTGATTGCGATGAACTGTTTGATTTTTGAAGGTAAGCACAAAGCTACACAATGGGCTGTCTGTGCTCTGCCCACCATGGGTATTGAAACCCGGGTTCTAGCGTTGTAAGTCCGCAGATATACCGCTGTGCTACTGGGGGGGGGGGGGAGTTGTGATGAAAGTGACAGAGTATTTTATTATCAAGTCTTTCCTCAGTTGAATTGATCCTTGTTGGTTGTAATGCATTACATCGTCCACAAACAATCCTTACCAAAGATTAATTATGAGGGGTTTGTGAGGTAGGCTTGATTATATTTAAAGCTAGCTCTACCCTCCTATTTTAACCCTCCTATTCACGGATCCAATAACCATCCGGCCTTTACAATAGAGTGCTTCAACTGTTGGCTGCAACTCTTACACTGACTTAAATTAATTTCCATGTTTACCATCAGTAGGATAGGCTTCAGAATGTTGAGGATGTATCCAGCAATATCCACAACAATTATCAGCTTACCAAGGGTTCATCATTACGAAATTATAATTTCTAAATTCGAAACTGTTATTGTTGCGATTTTCGATATAGATGTCCGTAACATCACGAATAAGAAATGCTGTATTCTAATCATTTGTAAACAGCTTCTGGACAAATTGTCTTGTGTGATTTAAAACGAAAACCTTCCTTATTATATTTTGGAACCCAAAGTACAATGCGATATATTTATTCTATAAGAGCTCTTCTGACACTCTCGATTGCTCTTGCACCTGAAATGGCAACAATGATATGGAACTTTGCCAATACACGTTCAAAGTTTGTGGCTATGGAAGGTAAATGTATCTGTCAGGTGTGTGACCATCTGATATAACTTGTCTTTGGTAATTCAATTACAATTGTAATAACCTTCATTATCTAAAACTGTAAGACCATCGAAATATAGAACGTACGACTACTACTCTTCTAAAAAACTCTCCTATATCTTTAGTAACAGAATATTTCTGTTGACACTTTCCATTTTACTTGTTTTTTCACACGTAACCTTACGTCTGTGATTGACTCGTCCAAAACTACACAGTATCGTGTTGTGCTCAAAATCTCTTACAGTTGCTCAGCTGTAAGTCTGAAGGCTTATAACTCTAAAAACCGGTTTCGATACCTTGATGGACACAGCATAATACCCCATTGTGTAGCTTTCCACTTAACAACAACCAACCAAACTACCAAACAGAATGGCATGGCCAGGTGGTTAGGGCACTCGATTCGCAGTCTGAGTGTCGCGGGTTCGAATCCCCGTCCCACCAAACATGCTCGCCCTTTCAGCCGTGAGGGCGTTATAATGTGACAGTCAATCCCACTATTCCTTGGTAAAAGAGTAGCCAAAGAGTTGGCGGTGGGTGGTGATGACTAGCTGCTTTCATTCTAGTCTTACACTGCTAGCGCAGATAGCCCTCGTGTAGCTTTGCATGAAATTCAAAACAAACAAACTAAACAGAATAGGTAGCATTCTATAGATACTCTTATGACTATAAGACCGCTTTGTTTTTGTGGAGTCGCTTTTTAGTTTGTTTTTGTTAAACAGAAAAGTACAAAAAGGGCTATCTGCGCTCTGCCCACCGTGGGTATCGAGCACCGAATTTTTAAAGTTACAAGCATTCCAATTTTCCAGCGAGCCCACGTGAGGTCATAAATATTAGCAAGATAATACTTTCAACCAAAAGGGGAATTTTCTGTGATTAGTCGAAGCTCTGCAGTGTAAATATAACTATTGATATTGCCATTGTAATAAAAAAATATTTGAATCAATTATAAATAATAATATTTAAAATATTTAAATAAGCCAAAAGGTGCATGTAACTAATGATTACTTTTAAATATCATTCAACCAGAATTGGTGTTAAATGATATTGTGTGATTCAGAGTGCTAAATGAATAAAGCAGAATTGATACTTTATGTTTCGGCATGTCCCTCCAGTGGATCAGCAGTACGTTTACAGACTTCTAACGCAAAAGTGCGGGTTTCGATTCCCGTGGTGGACAAAGAGCATATAGCCTACTGTAGAACAAACATACAAACGATTTGTCATTTTCCTTATCAAAAATATTATTGAAAAACTACAATTTGTTATATCCACCAGATGGAAACATAATCGTGAAATTCATAGCTGACACACCTGTTGACACAAATATATTTAGTAAGTTGTATTTTATCATTTTAAGTTTAACGTAAATAACATTCTAATAGAAATTCCAGCATTCTTTATATAACCAACTGGTTTATATATTTTGTTTTCATTATACTCGAAAGTTCTAAGATAGTAATGGGCCACAATATGTTATAAGGCGCTCACATTTGCCGTTGATTTGCTCTTGTACTATAGTTATACTGTTATTTTCACTGTTATTAAGTGTTAGAACTTTGGGTTAAACTTGCGTATTTATACTCTATATACTGTATTCCATTATTCACAGCTTAACGCCAGTGTAGATTATCGAGGGTCTAAGAAACCGCTGCAAATTTATTGTTCAACAATTCTGATGATTATTATATGTTTCACCCTCTCACCACTGGAAAAAAATTGTTAGTTTTTCCAAATTTAAAAATAATGACTTTTTATAACTTAAAATACCCTTGAACATAAATAGTAAATATTTAATTTAGATAATGTTTGCTGTTTTGTTTTTATTTACTGAAAAAGTGAAATATCATTCACACTTACTGACTTAGTCATACAAGTTATTTCCTATGCTATAAATATAATTATGAACATTTTTCACACTAGTCACAATATTCCATTCAAACATCTAATGTAAATATTAAGTTGATATTACTGCCAGTAGGACTGTAACTCATACAAAATAACAAATGCCCATTATTTTGTTGTTTCTAATAATAGTAATTTGACTATTTTTTGTACTATTGCCA